GGGGGGCTTGGAAGGGGGTGGGACGGGGGAAGTAGGCCGAGCTTTCTTATATCTGGATGTGACTGGGGGCTGGGAGCAGGGCCGGGCGTGGGCTGAGGTCGATCTGTGCTGGAGTTCAGGCAGAGAAGTGGCAGCTGTGGGGAGGGCAGGCTTGGAGCGCTGTTTTTGGGGCACTGCTTGGGAAATCCTCTCTGTGGGCTGTTTCGTGTCAGCTGCTCGGAGCCTTTTGGCCGAGGCGGGATATAAATCCAGCATATACATAAATAACACAAATAAATAGATGCCTCGACAAACACTCCTGCTCGGAGCAAGGGGCTGGACTCTGCGACCGCCAGCCCTGCTGGTCTGTGCTTCTGTGAAACTACAGACGAGTCGCCAAGACGCGGGAAGGCGAGGAAGGAAACCAGGCAGGGCACGCGTGCACGCGCACAAACGGCCGCCCTCTGCAAGGGTGGCACGTGTTAACGTGCTATCTTAGGCTAGGGATGGACGTTGTGTTTGTCTCAGCACAAGCTGTGCCTCTGTTTATCCTGGAACAGAAACGCCCCGGGGGTGGCGAGTGCACACATCGCCCTTCCACCCCGGGGACAGCGAGCGGCTGAACACACTGCTGCTCTCCTGCCGCGCGCTCAGCGCCGAGACAGCCGCTCGGAGGTGCCTTGCCGTGTCCCAGGGCAAACCCTCAGCACTTCTCTTCTCCCAGGCATTTCCAAAACACTTTGGGGGTTGGCCCATGGCACAGTTGCCCCCTCGCCTCCCCGTGCGGCAGCGTCTACTTAGCACAGGAACTTCGGGCTCCTCCAGCCTTGGCTCTGGCCCTCGAAGAGGCTGCTGCCCCTAAAGGTTTCCCCCTAGAATAAAACCAGTGAGAGCCAGGAGACGGCGACGCAGACACAGGAGGACCAGAAGGGCAGGAACAAACCATCCCAGAGCACTGCACGAGAGCCCGTTCCTCACTCCCTTGCCCCCCACCTCGTCTCTCATTGCCACAGCGCTGATGCGATGTCTGGGCAACTTGCCTTGCAGCCTGCGCCGTGGCAGCGCTGCTTTTACTGCCGGGGCTATCACAGACCTACGTCAAGATTTCTGCCCCTTCCCCCAGCCATAGCTCCTCGGCCCCTCTCATCCATCTCAGCTCCAGCCGCAATGCACTGCGGTCCGCAGCCCTGCGTGGAGACAGTCGGACCCTGGGCTCTTACGCTGGATGTGCGGTTTGTATTCAAAGCCGCTGTGCCAGGAACTACAGGCATCGCATCCTCACGGGCAGGAGGAGCAGCCCGTGGTCATCTCAGCCCTTTGCAAAGTGACAAATGAAGGCAGACGCCGGACGCCGGCAGAGAGCCCCCGAGGGCAAGGCCACACCGGCTGCGCGAGTCCCACCAGGAACCCACCCTGGGGAAACCCGGCAGAGAGGGAGCGACTGGATCACCCCAAGAGGCCTCTAGGATCGGAGTGAGCAAATGGACGCTGGAGAGGTCGGGAAGTGCGATGCCCACGGGGGAGCCGGCCCAAGGACGGAGGAGCACGACCTCTGTGCACCTTTCAGAGGCTCCACCAGTTGTCTCCAAAGGAAGGGGTCTTCCAGGTCCTTTCTTCCCCTGGAATTAGGCCTCTAGAAACAAGACGATGTTCACTTTCCATTTTCACACACGCCGGGGTCACAAGCTGATAACATAACGCTCCACTTAGTGCCACTAAATGCATCCACCTTGTCCTGCTGCAGTGCACAACCAGGGGTCAGGGCCAGTCCCTCAAGCGTCTCCTGAAGCTGCCTTCATCTACACTTGGACCGTTTCCTTTGGGATTACTGCCGGGCAGACCCTCAGCACAAGAAGCGGACAGCCCAGCACCACCCAGAGAGCAGCAGATCCTCCCTGGGGATCGTTTCCTTCGTTTCCCATTACTGGCGCTGAACACAGCGAGGAGCCAACTGGTTTTCTGGAGGGAGCTTGCTTTTCTGTGCTGTCTCCCTTGTTCAGTCGCATCTGTTACTCCTCTTTCTTTCCATCTTTACAGCTTGGAAATGTGCCCACAGTTGTAGCTCTGCTTTGGAAAAGAAAATCCAAGCAGGTCTCCTCTGCCATAGAAGATGCTCTGGTTTAAATAAACTGGGATGAAGCCACCTCCATAGTGATACCGTTGCATGTCAATAAGGGCCCAAGCCTCAGCACTAAAAGTGCCTCTACAGGACTGCAAAGACAACTGTGAGACCCCATCTAGCCCCGATATCAAGACTCTTGGAGAGTACTCAAGGGGAGCAACCATCTGAAAGGAAGAAATTAGGACAAGATGCAGCGAAAGCCATGTGTGGGGGGATGTCTAATTTGGCTTAGCCACCTGGGGAAGGAAAGGGGTGTCTAGAGTTGGAAGGAAAACTGAGGCTGAAAACATCCCTGTTGGGAGACTGGTTGAGCTGGGGAACCAGTTGCCTAGGGCAGGGCAGGGAGGCCAGTTGCCCCGGTCTATTCGAGACAGACCGGGCTAAGCACACGCGTAAGTGCACCTTTGCCTGGCTGGGGTTAGATGGGCTCTGCGAGGCTTTCTCCTTGTCCAGGGGCTGTCTCCCTAGATCACGGTGCCGGCTCTACTCCCCCCAACCTCATGCACCTGCCCAACTCTGGTTTCAGCTTCAGCTTGCTCCAGCCACCACATACCCCCTGGCCTCCTCTATTTAGCTGCTGGCCTCTGCTCTGCCAAGGATGGGTCCTTCTTCCTAATTCATCCTCTGCAGCACAAGCACGGCAGGGAGCTGCTCGTTCTCCTGGACAGCTGCAATCTGCACGCGCGGAGGCAGATTTCCACCCGACCTGCTGCTCCAAAAGACCAGCCATCAAGAGGCAGAAGGGAGCGTGGGTGTTTTCACCCAGCATCTCCCGTGCCACATCCTGATTTTAAGCCTTCACGTGTTAGAGACGCTTCAGATTCCAGTCACTGCATCTTACATTGCCTTTGCCACCTGGGTCCACGGGCTGTCTGTCTCCTGTCAAAAGCGTTCTCGCCCCGCGGATGCTTACCGACTGACCGTGTCACCTCTCATCTGGCCCCGAGGCCTCGGCTCCAGGGAAACAGGAGGATAACCGGAGCAGCCAGCCTTCTTGCTCCTCGAGAGCGGGGAAGGATGCAGGAGGAGCGCGTCTGAGGTGCCCGTTTCTGCCACAAGCCCGTTCTGCACCTGCTGCCGGCAGCCACGGCTCTCACCAATGCAGCGACGAGGTGAGCGGCCACTATAGCCAGCCACGCAGCATCGTGCTCTGACACAACTTGTCAGGTCTTCCACCAGCGCCGCAAGCCGTGCATGTTGGCAGGGTGCAGAGGGCAAAACCTGGGGTGCAAACAACGCCTGCAGAGTGCCTGGGACTGCCGCTCGTGTCTGTTCATCATGCGTCCAGGCACTCTCCCCCACCACCCTGCAGTTAGACGTTGGTTTCCCTCCCTGGAAAACTATTTCCCCAAATCGAGCATTTTAATTCCTTTCCATTTTGTGCACTGGGACCAGGAAGCATCTTTCTATGGCCGCCGCTCCCATCACATTAGCTGCGTGCTCGCTCTTCTCCTGGCTTGTACACTGCCCACACGGCCCTATTTCCACCTCCAGGTGGTCACCGAGTCAGTCTCGCAACAGGACTTCCCAGGTGACACAAGCTAGTGTCACACTAGGCACTGCACACCATTGCCCAGGCGCCATTCACCATCCCCGGGCCCCACACAAAGATGCCATTGGGTAATCGCACAGAGTCGTGGTGCGATACTCTCTGATTGTCCTTACAGCTGGGGAGGGCTTGTCCATGCCCCACACACCCCTGAGCCATCTCCTGCAACAGACTCAGCTGCTTCGTCTTGCTGCAGTGGGTTGCAAGCAACACTCCCATGCACGTGCACGTGCACGTGCACTGCCGCCGCCTCGTGAACAGGACTCGGGTCAGACACTCCCTGAAGGGGCCTGTCCACCTCCGCTGCCCCCGCGCTGCCCGTCACGTCCTGCCCCTCTGCCCGCTCCGGCGCTGCAGCGTGGCGTGCCTGTCACGCAGCGCTGGGCACCGGTCATGCAGCGCTGGGCCCTGCCTGCTGGCCAGCGTTTGGAAAGGGAGGCTCTGGGCACCGGGACGATCCCAGCACGTGGCTCAGCCGTTAGGTCTGGGACCACAGGCAGCCGGGTCCAAACTTCACGGCCTCCACGGACAGGTTAGCAGGACCCTTCGGGCAGCACCTAGTTTGCTGGAGCTCACAAGTCTCTCTCCAGGGGGCAACTTCTACTGCAGTTTTATCAACTCCAGATGTTCAAAAGCTGCGAGTCAAACCCTCCAAAATCCCAAGATTTTTATTTGAAAAGAAACACACTTTGGGTTCTTTTTTTGCTTGCCTTTTGAGCCGTGAGCATTTAGGAACACTCTGGTCACACTGCCGGGGGGCCTTTGCGTTCCCGTTTTCAAGTGAATGCAGGAGCTCTCGTGCAGCCACACGACTCCTGAACCTGGGGCCTGAGGAAGATGCCCAGGATTTGGAAAGCTGGTTGTACTGCGTTACTCCTGAAATCAAAATGTTCTGGATTGAGGTTACTTAGCAATCTCCTGCGGTTTAAGCAAGTCCCACAGCATTGCTTTAATGTGTCCTCTCTCTCCCCATCGAGAGGAGGTGCTGACAAAGAGGGGGACTGACATTTGGCAAGTGACATAAATAGTGATAGCCGTTATGCCGAAGCCCGGTGCTGACCCGAATAGTGGGGCCACGTGCCATTTTGGGAAAGAAATCCCTTTTTCTTGCTATAAAATTTGATGTTGGAATTCATCAGAACCTCGTTTGTCACCCCCGGGGGACAAAGCACGGTTTATTTTAGCTTTGTTTCTCAAACTCCCTTCTTCACACGAGCTTCAGGAGCGCTGCTGCTAAACGCTGGGGTATCGCTTTACCACCTGCTGAAGAAGTCCCGGAGAAGGATGCTCCCCACCGCCAGCTCCTCTAATGCTACCCAGCGAGTCACCGCTCCTGTCCCGACACTCAGCTTCCCTGCCGGCTCGGGCCAGCTTATTGCTCGCTTCTAAGAGGGGCTCGAGGTCAGGGCTTGCCTGCTTCAGTTAACCCCAAGCTCAGGAAGGTTTCTTCTCCCAGCAGGATCTGATCTTTACAGCCACTTGCTGTTTTTATTGGGTAACTAAAATTAGCTGGGCTTGTCCAAAGCTGCTTCAGGATTTTTTTTTATAAACAAAAATTTCCAGCGGAATATGTTGTAGCTTTTAGCTCTTCCTCCCCACGCCCTCCTGGGAACGGGTGTCGCTTGCTGGAGCGGTTGCTGCCCTGACCGCGCAGGGAGCTACGGGAGTGAACCACTAAAGGATGAAACTTTGCCGGGTTAGAAAGGGATCCCTGGAGCAGCACAAAGGAGCGCCCTGCCACGGCACTTGTCCTCACAGCGAGGTCCCTGGGGGCTGGGGGAGGAAGGAGAGACGTAATCAGCTCTTCATTCTGCCCCCAGAGCAGTGGCCGCAGCAGCGGGATGCTCGATACGGTTTGTGGATCCACTTTTAGTGCCGTTCTTCCGGCCGTGTGCTGCCCGGGGCACGGCTCCCTGCGAGCGTCCTCTACAGGAGGTCTGTGGGGCCAGAGGGAAGGACTCGGATAAAAAGCCTTGACGACCCAGTTCACCTCGCCTGCAAAATCAGCCCCTCCAGGCTGCTGAAACATGTTGGCAAAAGCTGGACCAGTTCCCACCCGAGCTGAAAAGCCCGGGGCTGGAGAGAGGATCTTGCACCGCGTGGAATTTACCCCGGCCAAGCCCCATAATAATACGGTGAAAATGGTGAAGACTCTGGCTGAGGACAAGGCCCTGCCCTGAGCTCATGGTAGCTGTAAGGCTGGCATTCAACCGCACAAAGCTCAGGCGGGGAAGGGAGATGCAGGCTCCGGCCAGCGTTACCGGACATCTCGTGCATCTGTTCATGCCAGCGTGAAGCAAGCACCGAGCGCTCTCAGACTCGGGTCTGCGCTCTACCTGCAGCAGGAATTGGCCCCTGGTTTCTAAGGTCCAAACGATGACGAGATGCCAGGCAGCGGGGAACCAGGACCCAGGCCTGCAAAGCCCTTTGAGCTCTCCGGATGAAAGGGCCCCCAAGCATGCACAGCTCTTTGCTTTCTCCCCATGCGTCCCCAAAGCACCACTGCTCAGCCTGCCTCGGTTTGCATGCATTCATGTCCAGCTCCATCCATTTCTTTGAGGCCTTTTAAAAAACAACTCTGCTTTTGGCCCTTTAAGCCAAGTCTCAGCCCAGAGGGAAGTGTTGCTGCCACATTTGAAACCCCTGTAAATAGGGGGTAGAAGGAGCTGTTGGCGGCACACCCTTCTGTGCAGCGGCATAACCACATCTCAGAGTATTTGCAGCACATGGCATTGGCCAGCCTCCTGCAGAGCTCGCAGGGCCCAGCGCAGTCTTGGCTGGAAATGGAGCGGTTCTCCCACGGCCTAGACAAAGGGGCTCTCGGCATCCTCTACGAGGGACCCTCCTGTCCTCAGTTTCCACACTGCACAGCAAAACTCTGGAGGAGGCGGTGGGCGCAATAACCCCAACCACCCAAAATCTCTAGTGCTGGAGGGTTCACCAGTGTAAGACAGACAGTCAGAGGAAACCTGCGCCCGCTGCCCCCATTACCCAGCTCACTGCAGAACTGTCTGAGCCTGCTTCATCTGCACTTTGGGATCAGGGCTCTGCCCACCCTCTCCGCCTTTCTGAGAGGTGCCGCACCAGTCTGAACGGCCCGATGTGAATTGCCGCATGCTCGTGCACCCCCCAGAAAACGAAGCTGCGTGTTTCTGGGTGTATGCACATCGTGGAGGGGGTGCAATGCATTAGTCCAGTATAGCAACTAGTTCAAGAACTGAATTCAGTCCCATGTGCAAGTCACAGCACCCCCAGCACACGATGTTTTGGAAACTATTGCAAACCATGTGCAATGTTGGAGTACAAGTCCTACACTGGAGGCAAACCTCTGTGCTCCTCTGGAAATAAAGCCTGACCAGCTGTGAGATACAAGGTGAGTCCAAAGGGGTGGTGGTGCATGTGCACGCACACATACAGAGACACTCACTGGTGTACACATCGGTCCTGGACTCAGACGTACTGGACACTGACTTTTAATTTCAAGGAAGCAGCTTAATACAAGGCTCCCACTGAGTCTGGAAAGGGAGGAAGAAAAGCAAAAAGCTACAGCTTTCATCCAAAGGGGAAACAGAGGATCTCGCTCCAGATTTGGAAACAGCTTAAGAACAGAGATTTTTGGGATGGGCAGCAGCGATTCTCAAAATCCAGTATGCCTGAGGCTCACTTGCTAGCCAGATATTAAGTATCTGAGTTTGTTTAATGAGCAGATTTTGCAGACTCCCTCCCAGCTCTGAACGGCTCTGGAGCAGAGCAGTCCTGCAGGGGAACCGCAGGTTAGTAATGCCACAAGATCCTTGTATGCTTTTCTCTACAAATACTGTCATGCAAACCCGTCGAAATGCTCTCTCCAACGACCTCCTCAAAGCTCTTCTGCACAAAGCAGGGAGTTTGGGAAAATGTGCGATTCGACTGCTACAATCGCGCCGCTCTGAAGCGGCTGCAGCATGCGAGTTCAGACAGGTTACAAGCAGCTTTAGAAAAACTCTCGTCTTGTGAAACGCTCACGGAGCTAAATCACTAATCTGGCAGGTTTCTGGAAAAGCAAACTCTACAGATCTTTGCCACTGAACACACACACCTACACACTGCAGAAGAAATATGTGCACAAGGCAGGTAGACACCAGACCACCGCCTGCTCGGGCCGAACGGCCTGCCGCAAGGCACCCGCACAGCTCTGCAAAGCCACGCGCACGGCCCCCAGGTACACGCATGCTGGTAGCCCCTGGGGTCCTTCTCGCTCTGCTCCCTGCTTCTCTGTCTGCAGCAAGGGGGTAAGGGGTAGGAATGGCCTTCAGCCCACAGACAAAGACCCAAATCCACTCACTCGAGGATGGTCCTCGTGTTGGACGCGACACATCTGTCATGTCAAAAACCAACTCGTCTCTTCACATGCAGTAAATCAACGTGCTTTTCCTCCACCGGCAGGAATTGGTGCCTGGAAGCGAGTGCTGGGGAGCTGCAGCCCCACACGTGCACCCCTTACACAGACCCCTCATAACCCCAGCACCCAGGGCTTCGCAAAGAGGCACCGTGCCTGCAGCACGCTCTCTCCAGGGCATGGCGAGCGAGCTGCCGTGTGCCAGCGCACTGCACTGCTATCAGAGAAGGGTTTCAGCCTTCCTGTAAGACAAGGATGCACCTTTATGCATGATCCCACCTGGGTGGTGGACATCCTCCTCGCTCCAATCTGCCCTTACCTAGAAGAAACCCCAACCTCTCCCTCAGCAGGGCAGCTTTTCGCACGGCTGCGTTCATTAGTTACAACACGGCCTCTCCAGCCCGCAGCTGCTGGAGCCAAACCCTCTCTTTCTAGAGGGCAGCACTGGCGCGACGCGGTCCGTCCCTGCTCGCTTGGCTGCACCTGCACGCTCCCGCCTGCTGCTGGACCAGGCCAGGCGGCACCTGCTGACAGGTGGGCATCTCCCCTCGGGCTGCGGCACAAGTGGCGGAGCGGACGTGGGCAGCCACAACCGCAGGAGACTGCAGCGAAGCAAGGTGGGAACCCGGGCGTGCTAGACAGCTCCCCGGCTAGATGGTGCTGCTTCCAGGGGCTTCCCAGCGCCCGACTGGAAGATGTCCCAGCTCCTCTCCAAAGGCCCAGTGAAGCTGTAATTCTCTTCTTCCAGTGCTTTCTTCCTAGCAATGACCCGGTGCAGAAAACACACCGCCACCGATCACGAGCCACCCTTGCCAGAAGCCTCAGTAGCCTAACACGCACCTTGCTCTCTGCTCCAGTCCACCCGCGGCTCGCTAGACGCAGGCTACGCCAGCCTTCCTGTCTGGTGAGGGAAGAGAGAGGAGGGCAGCCAAAGAGGAAGGGAGAGTTTATCCTGCTCTCCCCGGGCAGGCTGCTTTCGAGCACCCTCCTCTGGGGCTGGGCGGTGCAGGGGGGCGGTGGCAGCCCGGGGCACACACGTCTCCCTGGCACCGAACAGCATCCTCCAGCCGCGGTCGCTGGGCGCAGAAACAAAGCGAAGCGCCCCAGCCCTTTGTCCCAGGAGCTCCGCGCGGCGCGGGGCACGGGCCGGGGCACGGGCCGGGGCACGGGCCGGGGCACGGGCGGGACGAGCGGCAACGCCGCCACCCTGCCA